CGGCCGCGGAGCAATCACTTCTCGAGCTCACTGATGCCGAGAATATCACGGTGCGACTAATGCCTATTAAAAACCATGATTTTGTGATGCAACTATTGCCCATTAAAAAGCATGATTTCGTGGTGCAATCCCGCCGCCGCCTGGTAGCTCGAGCAACGTTCCCCATCATCAAAAATCCTATCGTCATTCACCCCACCGCCGCTTCTTCCTCGCTTCCATTCCTCCACCGCCGAAATCGATCCTACCCCTACGGTGCCGTGAGGAGGGTGCCGTCTCTCTCTCATGTTCCTTCCTCTCTCTCTCTCTGCTCCTGTAGACCAGCGAGTTCTTTATTTCCTCTCTCAACTGATCCGCCTTCTCGGGGTCGCATCATCTTCGGCGGTATTGCCCGCATGTAGCTGCGCCGAGAATCAGCCAGCGTCTCCCCCACGCCGGCGGCGGCTGATTCCTGGAATGGCATCCCCACGAGGCCTGGAGGAGCCCGAAAGCAGAGACTGTCCATGGGCTCGCAGGGGATCTGCGGCCCTGTTTGATGGGTCGGGTGTCAAGCTTGACTTCCTCGACCTTTTTCCAACTTCCAAACACCTGGGGTTCGAGCAGGAAGGAGAAGAGGAGAGGTGAGGAAGACGACACTGATTCCCCCGATGCACAGAATTACTTGAAGCCGTAAACACAGAGAGAGAGAGAGAGAGAGAGAGAGATACCCCGACACAACTGCTTCCTCGCATGTCGCACTCTCTGGGTCCTACCCATTTTGTCTGGAGATGCTACTATTGCGTAACTCCCCCCTCTTCCTCAGGTTTCTACGGGCGGGTCTGCTACCGAGACGGACAATCTTCACAAATCTCTCACGTCGTCTGGAGCCCCCTGGAACTGTCCGGAAAACAAGCTTCAGAGTCCTACGAGACGTCCCATCCCTGCAACGGGACACGAGGGATTTCTTCCACGATGGGAAGGTGTCTTGGGTTGTCAACGAGGAATGAGTATTTGAGAGAGAGAGAGAGATCATCTGTTTTAATCCGGGCAGAAAATGTATCTTTTTAAGTATTTCTGTGGCATTTAACATATTCTTCATTTCAAATTTTCACGGCGGACATAGTTGACAATTAAGGTACTTAAAGGCGTGCGGGCGCGCACGCACATACATGAACCACTGACACGCGGGCGGGGGCGCACGCTAGGAATTAATCCTAAGTAAAGTGATAATGATGAGGCTTAAGAATCAGAGTCAAATGTAAACTTAAAAATTCTATTTTGTATTAATAGTCTAATCACTTTAATGTAATTAATTGCTGATGTCGTAGAAGTTCCATTTGGCCAACGTCTCGTCACCCTATTTGACAAAGCATCAAAGAAAATTCTAAAAACTTAATAACTTTCATGTCATTTTTTTTTAAGATAAAATTATGCAATTTAACAAAAGTTATTAAAAAAAATTCCAACATATATCTTTCTCTCAGTAGTTTCATGAAGAAATGATAGATCACAATTTTCAGAAAATTAATAATAAATGTCAAAAAAAGCTGGATATGGAACATCTAGATCAGAACTGCAAAAAACTTGCTACAAAAATAAAATTCGAGAACAAACATGTTCAAAACTTTCCATCCTATGATAAGGTATGAAATAGACAATCCTTCAAATTGTTTTCATGCAAAAAACTTATGTGAACATGGGCCTTGATGAAAGAGAAATCCCTCAATAAATGTCAGATTATGACATAGGAAGATTAATAATATGATTATTTGCGTAAGTATCAGGTTTTTATAATCCAATGCACTCGCATTTAAATATTTTAAATGAGTTGATAGAATATCCTTAGTGCATCATAGTCCAAGTCGTTTTCGCTCAACCACCCATTTGCGTACCTTGGGATTCATAAGATCATTCATGTTCTTGAACAGGTGGGAAGACTAAGTAAATTGTGATCATTCAAATGATGCGCTCAAAATGGAGTTCAGATAATATCCTGATGGGAGTTCCACATTTGGATTAATACCAATATAGATTGCTCCAAATGTCAAATTTGTAAGATATGATTCGTGTAAATGCCTTTTCCATCACCAAATCAGCCGTTTTCAAAGTTGACCTACTTCCCCCCACTAAGCCGTCATTCAAGTGGCGATTTTCAACGCCTCGATGGGCACGTGGCGTACAGCCTCTCAATCCCACGCGTGGTATTCTCTCACGCAAATTTTTAGGTTAATTTTTCTCTCAAAGCTTTCGTGAGTTGACACGGAAACTAGAGATCGCTCCCCGGGAATGACCAGACTCGAGACGACCTGTCGGCCTACGGGATAACCTGTTGACCTTGTTCTTTCCTCCTTCCTCACGTCTGTTCTGTCCAGCTTCCCCACCCCACTAGTCCAGAATGGAGGGGGCGTATACGCCGGAGAAACGGGAGGAAGAGATGGTAGCTCAGCGGCTACAGTGGAACGATGAACCAGGTGCTACCAAGTGATACCAGGTGATGAACCCGGAAAGAGAGAGAGAGAGAGAGAGAGAGAGTCGATGTTGCCGTATGAGTTGGAGTAAAGTTGTACTTGTCCACAGGAAAAGGTATCCTATCAATTGTGGCCTTCTTCCTTGGGAGTGTATAAATATGCGACAGACGAGATTGCTGCCTACTAAGGAGCAATAGTTCGGCGGTGGGAAAAGGCTGTCTGAGATGGCTCCCTCAGTCACCCTCGCGCGCTTCGGCTTCGCCCTCCTGCTCGTCGCCGTATTTTCTCCCTCCTGCTGTGAAGGTTGGTGCATCATCCTCACCATTCTCTTTCTCCGTGGTTCTCTCTGTAAAGCTTCTTCTAGGGAAAACTATCAATCCTTCACTCTCAACCTGCAGCACAGAACCCATCCTCAATCGTAGACAACGCCATTCTCTGCTTCAACAACACATCCGTAAGCCGATTACTCCTCTCTCTCTCTCTCTCTCTCTCTCTCTCTCTCTCTCTCTCTCTCTCTCTCTCTCTCTCTCTCTCTCTCTCTCTCTCTCTCTCTCTCTCTCTCTCTCTCTCTCTCTCTCTCTCTCTCTCTCTCTCTCTGTGGTACCTTTTATCTCTTAAGTTCCGAAGGGTTTAAACAGATCTACAGGAACTGCCAGGAGCAGTATAGGTTGACGGCGAACGGGACGCTGATCTGTCTGGAAACGCCGTCGACGCCTTCTGCAGTGGACCATGTTTGGCCGAAACTCAGCTCGTTCTTAGCTGCGTCGACGGGATACTGTCGAACTTCAAGTTCTACAACGGAGCGACGATAAGGGCTGTCAACGCTACGATCCTCATTGCTTGTGGAAGCGGCATTGGAAGAGGTAATTCGAGAAATAACGTCTCGTAGGTTACTCATGCAGCTATAATGCACTCCACCAGCTCCTGGGCCAGGTCTTGAATAACCCAGACATGGAGGCAACCTTCTCGCAGATCACCTTCTTGTGCTTGGTAATCTTACCATATTTTTCTTTTTGTTGGGAATTTGGATATCCCATGTATTGCAGCTCTAGTTCCGGTGCCAGCTCCTCCACCAAGCGGTCATGGAGGCAACCTTTTGACCCCTCACATTCGTGTTCTTGGCATTTGGGCCATCGGCTCATGGATGTTCATGGCGCTGGCGTAATAACTTCATCCCGGATCTTGAATCATCCTCCCTACTCGATGTTCTACCACAATGTTGTCTGCTTGAGAGATCGACTCTAGTGCATATGGCCACCTTAGGTCTATGTACGATCATGAGAATTCTTGGAGAATGAAATATTATAGTTATATCATAATTGTAATTCTATTTGTACATACTCATTCTTTATTTTTATAGTTAGACCCTACTATTCATGAGCATATCAGATCCAATTTTGGCACAAGTGAGATTGATTTATCGGATTTGACCCTCTACTTATATGTGCATCCAAACCATTTTAGTCCTAATTTCGTTTTCACCCTTTCATTTTCTCTCTCTCTATCTCCTCTCTCATGAGCCAACGGCTTTCTCGTCGCCAGCAACATTTTCTCTATAGAACTTCGATCAGAGTGGCTTCAATATGGTATCAAAGCACCCCACGTGGACTTGTTCCACTTATGGCCCTTTGAAGATTCACTTTGTGGCTGCTTGTTCAACAAAAAAGGGAAACCGCTAGTTTGCCTTGATTTTTCAAGATCTTGCTTCTCTACACATTTTTCAGCCTATGGCAGTATTTTTTATTGTTATAGAAGGCCTCCCTCAACTTCTTGACCTCCCCTCCCTTGTATGGAGGTGAGAGAACAGATAAATATCCGTCTAGAGAAAGAGGACCCAGTTATCACACGACCCTTGTTTTCCTCCATTTGGCCCTATTCCTCCTCATGGAGAATAGGAGCACAACACTAGCTAGTTGAGCACATGGTGTTTCTCTTATATCTGAGGTGATATATATGGCTTCCTTAGTACCCTAGATTGATGATATACCCAGCTATGCCTTAGAGTTGCAAACATCCTGAGTAAATTCAAGTTGAATGGTAAAAACATACTCCAATGAAGTGAGTGAGTTATTGAGCTGATTCTCATAAGAACAAAAAGGGTAGGCCACATCCTAGATCTATCACTTGAATCAAGTGATCTATGATTTCGGCTATAGAATAAAGAGGATATAATTAAGCCATGGCTCTGGAGTACCATAACCCCAAAAATCAATACAAAGTATTTGTTTCTTCCAACTACAAGAGATATTTAAGAAAAAGTTAACAAAGCTTTTTCAAAGGAACTTGATGCATGCTAGATTTTTTGACTTATATCAAAAGCTATGAGTGTAAAACATGACACAAAATCAGTTAGAGAATATGTGATCAAGTTAAACTCTCTAAAAATTCACTAGTATAAGCCAATTATCACAATAGATCCACAATATGTAATTTTTTTTAAGAAATACATTAAGATTGATTGGATTTACAAATTCCTCATTGACCTTAATCTTGAATATGATCAAATTCGAACACAAATTCTAGGAAGAGAAAATTATAGACCTTAGTGAGAAGTCATTACCTTAGTGAGAAATGAGGAATGAAACTTATAGACCATAATCCATGAATAACACTACATTTCTGGTTAAACATAAGGAAGTAGGAAGTCCAGCACATCAATCAAGCACAAGAGTGAAGAAGGGTGATTATAGGGACAACCTACGGTACACCTACTACAACTAGGCACGAGATTTCTTTGAAAAATGCTACAAGCTTCAAGGGTGACTTCAATCAAGAGGTAAGTTCATCTTCCCAACATGCCAGACTCTAGATGAAATAACAACCTTGGAGATGAATCCTATTAGAGAGCTAGTAGGACTAAAGACTGACATCAGCCATGACATCTAGATACTATATGCAATTCATATAGTATATGCAATTCATCTAGATACTATTAGAGAGCTTTAGAGGCTCCTCCAATTAGACTTTGAGATCCTTTGTAACGTACTACGTGCAATTCATTTTTAATATCATTAATCTAAGATACTATAGCCATTGATTGTATGACTAATACGTTAAAATATTTGTTAACTTACAATCCTTATCCAAGTAGTAAGAAAGTAGCCACAACTAATGCATCACTAATTTTTGTAGTTGGCATAGGTTATGTGAAAATTGATTCTTTAAGCACAATTAAAAATGTATTACATGTCCCTAAATGTTGAAAGATCTAGAGGCTAGACAAAATACCAAGGGGGTGAATTGGTATTTTAATGATCTTCGATTTTCTTCCTGGATAGTAGATGTGTCAACATATGTGTTAACACAGCTCTGCGTGATTATCTATGCGCAGGATTGCTTTCTCTCTCCTCCGGTGGGTTCTCACTATGAGACAAGTTATATTGATTCGCCCCTCACCTGGCTACTTCCAGTAACGGAGGATACTTATTACCGGTATTCTATTATTTCCTTCGGAAATACACACTGAAATTAATGGGATCAGCAGCCCAATACCTCAGGTTTGACTTCCGCAGAGCTTCAGCCCCTTCCGGGCCAAACAGGGCTTAGAGTACCTCGTGCCTCTGCCCAAAATCACTCTCCACTCACTACCCAGTTACCTTAGGGCCTGATCAAGAGCCTCCTTGAAAGATTCAAGCTTTATCTTGATCACCAATCGTTGATGAAGAAGGATGATGCAGTCTGCTGGCGGTTGAAGCTTGGCAGTGATGATTCTTGATCGTAAGAGAGATAACTCGTAGTAGATCGAAGTGGAATCATTTTGGTTGATCTCCCCAGCTTCCTTTACTTGTAGGGCGTCGTCCTTCAACAGATTTCCGCATTTGCTCAAGAGATAAAATGGGAAAGTCAGTTCAAATACTTACCGTTTTCCGGAACGCGCGGCAACGACCTCTGACCATTGCGAATTCAATATCTTTCTATTCTCTAGTCCGTTTGATTTGAAATTTGAACTTGAGGTTCTTGTTGACTTCGTCTTCAGATTCGTTAAGCTGGTCGTTTTCTCCACGTAAGCAGTTGACGTGTCATCGCTCAGATTTCCGGTTCGAGACTCACAAGAGCTCATTTGATATTTCGAACCTTTTTTTTTTCTTTTTCTTTTAATGATGAACGTGACTAATAAATAGTAGCTGCACTTAAATGGTTAAATAATCATGGATAAATGAACTAAAAACATAACCATCATTTACCTATTAAATATTTTTTTTCCAACAAATATTTATCCATATATATGTGGCGCTCCACCTATTCATCAATCCACTTAATCTCAAGGTTAGCCATAATGTCACAAGATAAATAATAGATTTATTTGCATTAAATCTATGAGGCATTTATGATAATCTTGTAAACAATATCAAACATGAATTATATATTTTCTCATATAATTGTAATATCAAAATCTATGCCCAAGGGCATCAACAAATGTTCTACCAATCTAATCTCTATTAAAAAATTAATCTATGATATAAATTGTGGGGCGAGTATTGGTAATGATATACATATATGATGTATATGAAAAGGTGACGAATAATTTGACTGGAAGTGCTGAAGAGTGCAGCAGCCTCTATCACCTTGGAACCTTAGCTCGTACCTACATGGGGGGCTTGCAATCTCTATTAGGGAATGAAAATGATGAACCTACTACACCTAAGGAGCTTTCGTTATATCCTCGTCATCTTGGTCATCCTTTTTTCAAGACATTGAAACATCTATTTTCAAAGTTATTTTTGAAATTTAATATTGATGGATTTAAATGTGTTGTGTGTGAATTTGTAAACAATAAAAGATCATATCTTCCTATTAGTGGTTCATAGTGATATGTGAGGACCCTCATCTACTCCTAATGTATTGGGAGTAAGATGGTTTGTGACATTTATAGATGATTACTCATGAACAATATGGATTTATTTGCTAAATCATAAATCTAAAGTGAATAAAGTAGAATAATTTTGTACACTAATTAAGAATCAATTTCAGATTTACAAGCAAAATATTTAAATCAGATAATACTAGAAATTATTTTAATCAAACTATAAATGAATTCTTTCGAAAAGAAGGAATCTTTCATTAATCCTCATGCCTCAACAACCCACAATGAAATGGGGTGATCGAGAGAAAGAACATACCCTTATTAGAAGAAGCTAGAGTACATCTTTTCCAAAATAGGGTAGCAAAAGCTTTTTGGGAGAAGTGGTCTTAATAGCTGCCCACTTTATAAGCTAGTTACCAACAAGGGTCTTAGAATTTAAATGTTCATTATATGTTTTTCATCCTATTACCCACATGTCAAATTAAAGATGAATTTGATTCCTAGGATCTTCAGATGTATGGTATATGTCTACAATTAGGGAAGCTTGACTTTAGGCATTAAAATTTATCTTTGTTGGATATTTGAATGCTAAGAAATAATAAATATTTTCATCTTTTATCAAAGAAATATTTTATTACTAATACTATAGAATGTTCTTGTGAATTATGGCCAATACAAGGTATATTAGTAATGATTTCAAATCCAAAGGTTAATTGTACTCAAACAACTTAACATAAGGAGAGTTTGTGTTTTTTGGGTGATAGTGAAAACGTTGGCTAATAAGTTGCCCTTACTATCACTTTATAGAACTGTACATGAAATTTTCACCTCATATGGCTTCTCTTCAATTCTTTTGAAGTCATTAGATCATCTTCCCATTAGAGGATCTCCCTTCTTCCATTGTCTCGAAGAGTAACTATACTAATTTAGTCACGTTTCATGTTCCAATTGAACATTTTCTATTTTTATTATGATCAAAAGAGAAGATTATTTACCATATATGATGAAATTATAATATTATCTTGAAGTGATAAATATAACGAATAATTAAAACTAAAAAATTAAACCTAAGGAGTTCTTAGTCAATTTATGAATAAACCTAAGGAGGTTTATCTACGAACTATATATGCAGTCTTGTAATATTTGAAGGGGACCCCTAGTAAAGGCTATTACACATTCCTCATAGTCAATCTTATCACATGGAGGAGCAAGAAAAAACAAGTTGTGGCATGATCAAGAATAGAATCTGAATTTAGAGTAATGCCACATGGCATCTGTCAAGTCTTGTGAGTGAAGGTCATTTTATAAGATCTCAGAATTAATAGACAAAGCTTAATCAAGCTCTATTGCGAAAATAAATCAGCTATTAATATTGTACATTGTCTAGTGCAACATGATCAAATTAAACATATCAAGATTATTGACACTTCATCAAAGAAAAATTAAATAATGATGACATTTGCACATCATATGTCTCCACACATAAACAATTCATATATAT